GGTGGGCCCCATTAAAGTGGTTTGTGGCTAATGTGGGCTAACCCAACCAAATGGTCTAACGTGGCTTTAGAACAGAAGAATATTGGAGAGGAAGAGCCACTTTAAAAAGTGGAAATTACATAAACTAACACATTTAGAGATTTCATTTCATAGATCATACACTAGGTTTACTCTTTCAAAAATCAGATTTTTTTATTAATATATATATATATTAATTTACCCTACACAATTTCAAATTCTAAATTATTTCTCCCTATCTTCTCTCTCTCTCGGAAGCGACCCTTCGGTGTACCTCTATGCGAGGTGGCTTTATTTGTCGACAACATAGAGCTACCACCACAAGAAGTGGCGTGTACCTATTGCTACAACAGCATTGCGTACCATTGCCGAACGAACCAGACTGTGAAAGTCAGTGCACGCGGCTCAAAGCGGTACTTATAGGCCGCAACGCATCACTATGCTGCAATCTTGCCATATTTGTGTTGTGGTTTCTTCCTCCGATCTGCACCTTTACCAGAGTTTGGAGTGTTTTGTTGGTGATTGATAAGTGCGGGTTTTTGCACTTATTCGGGCCATTAAACATAGATATTTATAAGTTTCATTAGCTATTTATCACCTAATTTAGTTATTTTTATTGTATAAGTGAAAATCCGAATTTGAACGTATTTATGCGAGAAAAGATGGTAAAGATAAAGGAAAACGAAGAGGAAAAAAAATTTACAGCAAGCTGGGCCCTGCGGTGCCCAGCTAGAGAAGAAAATAGAAATTGTGGCGCCTAGGTGCCACTCGGGGCCTCTTTACTAGTTTCCAAAATTTCAGAGACCTTGGTTGCAATTTCTCCTAGGTTTTAACTTAAAACCAACCCATTTGCTAAAGGAAGGAGATCGGATTTTCTTCTTAAACGGGAGCAGCCGGTTCTTCTTCTTTTTCTTGTCTTTTATTTTCTTTCTTTTTCCTTTTCCTTTCACCTTTATTTTCTTGGAGATTTTGGGGAAAAATTGGAAGATGGTGATGGTGCAATAGCTTGGAAAAGAAGACTCATTGATATTGAAGAACTCTCTATCATTTCTTTCTTTATCAAGAAGTTTTTCTTTTCACATTTTCCATCATTGTTTTGTAAGAAATTGTTAGTTATTTGTGAATATTTCATGGGTAACTATATAAATTTGTGATTGGGGGTGTTTTTAAACCCGAGTCATGATTTTCAATTAATTTGTACTTTAGAGTTCTCTTGATTAATGTGTTTAATCTATTGTATTAAATGTCAATTTTGTTCTTCTTGATTATTTAGGTGTACAACTAAATGATTAGGTTGTCTCAATTAATGCTATTTTAGGATTTATAGTGCGTAATAGCTCTTTATTCTAAAACCTTGTAGCAATTACATTTCGATATATTATCAGGAATTTTCAATTAAATGTATGTGGATTACACTTAAGTGAGTAAATCGAGCTTGTAAGTTTGCCCTTAATTCGATTGATCTCTTTAGTTGGAATGCATTTGTTAAATTAAATCTAGAGAGCTTGTTGTAGGTTGTTTAATGAATGGAGTCGAGTAAAGAGCTTGTTTTGTTCGACTAACACGTAAAAAGATATTAAGATAATTGAGTTTGTAATTATTCTCGAATTGTTGTTAATCTTGAAAACGAAAATCTATTGTGGTAATTGACATGAAAATCATTCTCGTGGTGACGAAATATTCCCCAATCACATTTTCTCA